CCCCCCCCCCCCACCTCAGGCCCGGACATCATTTCGTGTGCCCCAACAACAACAACCACGTGAACTGCGTCCTGTGTTTGACGAAGAATTTCCCGGTGCAGTGGGAAGAGTTACAGCACGGGATCAAGCGATACTACTGTCCGCAGTGCCAGTGGTGGGTGTGTAAGCTACATAAAAACTGTACCCGAGAATTACTTGTTTTCAGATTAGGTATTTGAGGTGAACATGGTTTGGCGCTGAAGGCGAGTCTTGAAAACCGTTTCCAGCGTACGGCTGCCTTTAGGATGCCGGGTTTGGATGAAGGCTGGGTGACCAAAACGGTCTGCAACGGTTCCTGCCGCTCTGACACGGCTTTTGTTTTTTCGTGCCGCACCGCGTGAAACTCGCCGAACCTCTCGTTTACTTGCTTGCTGAACCTCGTCTGTTGGACAGAGTAACGTGGTTCGGCATGGCACAAAGCAGTATCCTCGCCGCCTTGTTGCCTTTCTCACCTTGTTGCGTGCCGCTGCGGAGAAGAGCGAGTCAAATCGAGCGGCTCGTAAAGTGTCTTGCTCCTGCTAACCATCACCCATCTTGCTAGCTAACAACCACGGTTCGGGTGCTTCCGCGGGAAAAGAATGTCTTGGTGGACCGGTTCTATTGCCCCTCGGCTTGTACCGGTTGATGTGGTTAGTTCCTTGAGTTGGTCGTAGTGGCGTATTCTCTATCGGTCCTCCTTGTAAGTCTTGTTCACTTCTTCAGTTCTATTGCAGTACCATGTACCGCCGCTAGCGGCATAGCCGCAAGTCTCTAATGGGATGAGTTTTGCTTTCCATTTTTATCCTCGCACCGTGCTGGTGCTCCGTGCAATTGACGGTACCGATGCCGCCTCCTGGTGCATGGGCCTTGTGGTGTTGACTCGGCCTCGTCTCCTGCTTTCGATGCTATGCCAACTCTTCTCTCCCCCCCCGCCTGGAAGGGAGTAAAAGTAGGGGACACGGAAACGTCGGTTTCAGGAATGCTGTTTGCGGATTATTTTGTCGCTATGTCGGACACCCCTGAGGGACTGCAACTGCAAATTGACGCGGCGAAGAAGTTAGCTGATAAGTGGAGATTGTCTGCTAACGTTAAGAAGAGTGCCGTCATGGAATGCAACGAGAACAAGGAGGAACCAGTAGAACATAGATGAAAGTGGGAGATCGAGGAGATTGCAGTACTGTACCAGTACACATACCTAGGAGTAGAGATCGCAAAAGACTGCTCGTGGAATGCACACATGTCCGGTAGCGGAAAAGGGCAAAGCACGAGCAGGGAAGCTGCACTCAATACCNGAACAAGGAGGAACCAGTAGAACATAGATGAAAGTGGGAGATCGAGGAGATTGCAGTACTGTACCAGTACACATACCTAGGAGTAGAGATCGCAAAAGACTGCTCGTGGAATGCACACATGTCCGGTAGCGGAAAAGGGCAAAGCACGAGCAGGGAAGCTGCACTCAATACCCGCAAACCGGCACCTCGATACACGCATCAAATTGACGGGTTTGAAGAGCGTAAACGTACCGCCGCTAGAGTACGCCGGAGAAGTATGGGAAGGAAACAAGAAGGTAGTGAAAGAACTGGAGGCGGCGCAGATGAAAGCAGCGAAAATTATCCTAGGATGCTCCAAGCGCACAAGTAATGCAGCCGTCAGGGCAGAATTGGGGATCCAATCCCTACGGTCGGGAAGAGACGCGAGGAAGCTGACATGGCAGTATCGCATGTGCGGGATGGGAGAGGAGAGGTTGCCGAGGATTGTATGGGAGGCGAAGTGGGCAAACAAGAAGAGGGGTAGACAACCCACGGAATGGGTCAACGTTGTAGAGGACGTATGGAAGGGGTTCGACATCGACGAAGATGAAACGCTGGAAACGGAGAGTCTACAGGGGTTCAAGGAGAAGCTATCTGTTGCTTGTGCCGAGAGAGAAGAACAGAATCTATGGAAAGAATCCAAGGATAAGGAGGGTCTAGAAGTGTACGGAATGTTGAAGGAAGGAAAAACGTTCAAGGATTACCTACATGGACCAATGGATGCAGGAACAAAGTTGAAGGTCAAATTCAGGACCGGGGACATGGGCCTTCGAGAACGTCGACGAAGACATAGGACGGTAGACGACGAAGACGACGAGTTCAAATGTGATTGCGGCTTCGAATGCGAAGACCGTGTTCATGTGGTCGCGGAATGTCCGTTGTACAAGAAGGAGAGGGAAGTGTACGTGACTGAGCTGGGAAAAATAGATGGGACGTACAGGGAGCTGTTTGGGGCGTGGAATAGAGAGGAAAGGACGGTAGCTGTAGTGGGGCATGGGAGGTGGGATGAAAAGGCGGGAAGGGATATCGTTAGGATAGACCGACTAGGGAAGACATTTTTGAGCCACCTTTGGCAAAGTAGAAAGGAACGATTGGCCATCGGTGAT